GTGTGTGTGGGTGTGTGGGTGTGTGTGTGTGTGTGTGTGTACATATATAACAACAATATACATACGTATTTGCATACGTATACATGAAACATATTTAATTACATCATATACAGACGTTGCTGTGCCTCATTATACCTCGAAATATGTATCTCTTACCAAAAATTGGAAAGCGCATACAAAGCAAGAGCGATATATTGCTTAAGTACTTTATACTTAATAACGAAGTATGATAACGTTATATCCTTTGTCGCTGTACTATATTAGATGCAAGTATTAGCTCAAAAGCCCAATGCAACGACATATGTGACTGTTGCAACACCAGGTGTTGACGCGCTAACAATACTTCGCATGTCTAACAGAACAACATGTGTAGCTGATATATGATCTTGTGCTTATACATAGTACTACAATCAATTTATAACGCCATAGCAAGTAAACCATACCTCTTTGGGCCCTGGGCAACGTCCGACTTGCAATTTCGCTGGGAAAAGGACATGATGTATAACTTTTTGTACCGTCTTTGTGAAAGCGCATCTTATGCTCGTTCTGAGCCAAATGTGCAGATCTAAGATGTGTGATGTATTGGGTTCGTTGCTGTGTCGTTCTCCACGGCAATTAGTATGTACCCAGGATGCTTGCGATATGAGGTGGCGTTTGGTAAATATATATATAATCCAACCAGAGCTTATCTCTCAAAAAAAATTTTAACCCATTTATTTACATTCATTGATTCAATGATGATATTTATATAAACACATAGATCTATGTGTCATCAATTTCATTTCAGCGCCGCGGAGTACAAATACACAATACGTTGTGGCTAATCAGTATTCACGATGCTACGAACCTTGCCCGCAGCGCACGTCACAGTAGGCTTATCCACGCGACTGGCCGGGCATCATGTGAACGCACTTAGTCCACAACTGCACACTCGAGTATACAGCTTACGTACTCGATTACATGAAGCTACACCCAGCTTCAACCTGGTAAACACAAAGCAGTATTCGACACACGATGGAAATATAGAGGACCGGCACTTGCCAACCTTCGGACACGGAAGCAACTCAAGCGAAGCGACCTGTCATACAAGTCGATCCTAGGGAAAAACAATTCGACACACGCACACGAACACCTTCTAAGACAGTAGATAAAGCTCCTGCAACTGCACGCGAGTTGGAAAATGCCATTCTCGCGTTACCTATAGAGCAATGGGAATCGGCCACTATGCTACTACGACGAATAGTGGCTATAGGCGGTGTCCCTAGCAAATACGCGTTAAATAGTGTTCTCAGGAAGTTTAAGAAAGCGAGACAATGGCCAGTCGCACTCGATATATTCTATGAGATGGAGGCTGCGGGAAGTTTAAATATCACGAAGAGTTATCGATATGTCATGTCGGTGTGTGCAAAGAATGGGCAGGCCAAGCGCGCTCTTCTGCTCTGGCAGGAGATGAAAGAAAAGGGCGTCAAGTTAGATATGATTGTTTATAGAAGTGCCATCTCTGCGTATTGTCGTGATGATAAGATGGAAGAAGCTCGCTGGCTTCTACAAGTAATGCAGAGAGATGGAGTGTCCCTGACTACACGGTGTATTTAACACTGTTAGCCGCGTACACTAGACAGGCAGATTATAAGAACGCGGTCAAGATGCGGGATTGTGTTAAAATTAAGTTTGGAAATGTTGGCAATGAAAGAGATAACTGGCTATTGCAGGACGGCAATTCGGAAAAAGCCGTGGAAATGAATCGCGCAAGGCTAAATCATGATAGCGACACGGAGCATCAGCCTAAGAAGTGAGTGTGCTGCCGAGATGGAAAAACGAACGAGGATATTGCAGTTACAGGATTTACAGAGCGCCGATGTAGAGATGGGGGAGTTTATTTATAACTTGACCGCCTACAGTCCGTTCTGCGCAGCAGAAGTCGAAGCGAGTTCTGGAGGGATATAACCAGTTTGTATAGTGATATTTAATATCAGTTTTGTGTCTTGTATACATTCCTCTTGTGTGGACCTATTATGTAGACCAGTGTGGTCAACCCTATTGCCCTGAGCCAGCCCTGGAGCACCGAACGTAGAAGGAATAATCAAGCGATAGCATACTGAGCAAATATGCATAGCCCTACAGATTACAGCTACGACTGCCATTATGGTGCACTCAACGATACATGTGTGGTAACATGGAGTTGAGAGTGTGTTAATAATGCGCTACGTTCCATGCCAAGAAACAGAAATATTATTTGTTGAGGTCTAATTGAACGTGATATAGCTGCCTATGTAACGTCAGAGAATACGCTGTTGCAAGGCATACATAATTGAAAGTGCAGAGGCACGGTGTAATGTTAAATACGGAACTGTTGTGTTCTCCGGGCGATACCTGAACAAAAAGGGTCAGTTTTGCCACGGCCATTTAGTCCGTTCTGATATAGTTTTAATTTCTCTAGAGGGTAATAGTTTTGGCAGATATATTTAAATTGGTACTTGATTTTCGGTAGTATTCCTTAGTAGTAGGCAGACAATCTCGGCAATTGCTGCTGTAAACCACAGTAAAAGTGAAGTGGAGTGGGAAACTTGGAGCTGTCAGCGTTGGCAGTCCAAATTGCGAGTTGAATGGAAGTGTTAGGTACGTCAGTAACGCCAATCAAATTGGGTATATTGTTTAATGTAGCAGGCTATGGTTTATTGCCATATTTGTTTTGAGTGTGATTTTTTAGAGTTATTTAGTCTCCTCCGGAGACTGTCACATCGTCAATTTTGTATCTTATATTTGTACGACCCATCTAATTTGCGAGAACATATGTCCATATGCACAAATGGCACACATAGAATTAAACCGATGATACACAAGTACGCATTATGGTATGCTCAAATAATTAGAACCGTTACCAACTGATGATGCAAAATAGAAAACATTTACGTTTCAATATGTCATTCCGTTGCGGCGGCACCTAGTGGCAACCATGGTGATACAGTCATGCGTTATTGCAATTTAACATCTGCTTTCCGGATACTCTGATTAGAAACATCCAGTCTGTAGCATCGCCCCGGTACAACCCTTATTCTGCGTAATATCCGAGAACTTCCGGCATCCTCTTCGCGTTATGTATCTTTCTACAACCCATAGTTGTCTCTTTCTTTCACACTGTACAATTCGGGCACACTAGGAATATTACAGATTGATCTTTAATTTATCCGTGGGGAATGGATAAAACAATCGCTTCAGATACATACGCTAGCCCTCCTAGAAATTAACTTCTAATAGAGGCCTGAGGATAAATGGCAGATGCGAACACTGTGGTTCCACCACATCACTGATCACTCGTCACAGCTCACAACTCCACACAACAGGCTCCATTCATGCATCCCTAGTTCACTGCAAGTGTGTGAGCTTGTTGGAAGTCCCCCCAGACTCAATTACTTAAAGGACTCACACCTGTCCGTCTGTCTGTCAAGTAAAGTCAACCCTCCGTCTCTGGAGGACGGAAAAATCTGCGATCCCCGGTCAGTGGGCCTGTGGTGGTGACCATAGCCTTGTTGTTTTTGTAGAAGAATATGTGTTGACTGCTGCCACTGTGGCTGGTGAGGGGTGAGAAGAACTGATGTATGTATGATTTTTATTTTCTCTCCCTCTGTTCCCGACTTAGACAGCCAGAGAGGCTGAGAGCCGAGTCACACTTTATATTTTATTTACAACTGTGTTACACGTTAACACTGTTTTTTATAGAGGCTGTCAGGACTCCGACTATATAGCCTTACTGAGTCTTGGCCAATGATATCTCGGGAAAATCTCAAATCAGAGAGCAGTTGCTCAACTCTCTTGTGCTGATAAAAGGTCAAAATAAAATTACTCACCAAGAGTGATTGAGTCATTAAATATTAAATTTTACTATTCCTTCTGGAGTTCTGGACCCTACTACTACTGGTAGCCTGTCGGACAAACAGACGTGAACATCACAGAAGGAGTTTTTTAGTCATCATTGTATTCAATGTGCTTGTGTGTATGTGCCAAAGTGGGGTGCATAAGTATGTGTATGTATGACATTAGCAGTGTATAAAAAGTAAGTCACTTATTAAAAGATACATATTAATCAAAAATGGCTGGCGTATTTAGGTTGCCCCTTAATTTCAGAGACGTTGTCGAGACGGCTGGACCAGGTATCGTATCGGAGTTACAAATCATTGATATTTGCCTCAGTGTCTGCTACTTGAGTTGGTAATTTGTTTGACCTGGCACCAAAAGTTAGTTACTGCGTCACTGCTGCGCGCTTAACGAGTAGAGACCTATCGCAAGAGATTTCCCAACCCTGGATTCGTCTGCCACTCATTTTTGGGTGTATGATAGGAGGCAAATAATAAAGTGCAAGAAACTATTCAATTGCATTCTTTTGAACGCCAATTTAGGTTTTAGACACACACACACAAACACATTATATATGTATATATATATATATGTGTGTGTGTGTGTGTGTGTATAGATATATATATATATAAGTATATTATTATTATATATATATATATATATATA